CCAGATTGGCCAAGAACTGTCTCTATTGAGTGTGTAAACACTTGGCCTCAAATCAGTTGCCAATCAAGGTTTCATAATATCCAAAGGTATCACAATTATTCAGGAGTTCTTATGAAACTCCCAAAATAAAATAAGTTTAATTTTCATTTTAAAAATGCCTGTGGTGTGTCTTATGAAACAGCCTGCCATAATACCAAGCAAATGACAACAAATTATTACTGTTCTCAAATCTAGCTGGGAATCACTATCTTTATATTGAAAGTTAAGAAGCAAACTCATCACCACTTTCAGCCCAGGAAGCCCAAATAATTCAGAAAATTACTAATATTTGGCAAAATAATTCAGCAAGAAGGTGTCCAAAATGCTGGGAAGAACTGAATTGTGATCCGTTACCATCCTCCCGGTGGGAAAGAATAAAACAAAAGTCCCACGATTTTAAGTCTGAATTACAAAATTAGAGGAAGAAAAGAAATGCAGCTGCTGGTACAGATTCGAATTTCAGTTAAGCATTTTAGTACAGTATTATATAATTTTTGTCAAAAACAAGATTTCTCAGCCACTGAGAAAGAAAATCAAAGACCATGAGAAGAGGCCAAGAAAGGCAGTAAGAAGCCTGAGCAAGGACACTGAGGAGGCTGCACACCGGGAGGTTGGAGCAGAACGGCCTTGGGCTCCGACCTGCACAGTAGGATCTCACCCCCGGAGAGACCCCAGCCCTGGCCCTCCTCCTCACTCTGACACAGGAGTCACACCTCCAGTGAATTCTGCCTCACAGTGGCCACTGCCCTCCTAAGTGCAAGGCTGGGCTTGAGAATTTCAGGAGAGAAACTCAGTGGTGAGTGCTTCTCCCCAGCTGCAGCAGCTGGTACTTAGTGGCTCTTAGTTTCCCAGCTTTCTGTGCTACTTCCCAAAGGCACACAGGAAGTAGACTGGACATCTGTGCCAGAGGTGACTAGCTTCAGGAGTGCTGATGGTGGCAAGGCCTCTCTGCACATGCTTTGGCCAGGTCCCCCCTCACCTCATCAGCAGCCAAGGGAATATCCCTCAGTGTGGCTGGTCCTTAGGAGTCACACCCATTGGCCAGAGGTCCTGAGCACCAAGCCCTCGAGCAATAAGCTCCCAACTCGAGAGGCTGTGGCTAGTAAGCAGCAGGGTTCCATCTGGAACCCAGGTCTCTGACTACAATAACTAACCTAGAGCTCTTTTCTCACATTTCTTCAGCAGTGGTCTAGCAGAGGGAGCCAGCCACTTCAGCAAAGAAAGTGTGATGAAGTCCATGAACCCAGAGAATAAAGCCCTTTGGCCTGTCAGGGGCAGATTCTTAAGGGCACAGAAGGGGAAAAACAACAAAAGCAAGTTTATACTCATAGGGAAACATAATCTGTGATTATAAATATTTTATGGGCAAAGAAAGCAGCACTGACTGAGAGACTGGGGTGGAGAGGGTGGACAGCAAATTAGATCCCAGCCTGCAAAGTGATAGGGCAGCTGGAAAAGCAGCAAAGCCGAGGCTATTCTGGGCTGTGCTGCAAGGGCCTGCGTCACAGGCCCTGGCCACAGACTTTGTTGAAACCACAGCCTTCCAGTGGTCAGCACAGAACACCTTGGGAAGAAGGTTTAAGTCCATGAAGACCAGAGGAGGGGACAGCGAGGACAGAGGAGAGTCATCTGAATGACTCTGGCAAACCTCAACAGCAGTGAGGCGGGTGAGGGGAGGCAGCACCCTGCAAGCACGTGAAAGGAAGATACTTCCTGCTGACTAAGGGCAGAGGAAGAAGTGAGGCTGACCCCAGAGAGCAAGCAACCTGAGAAGCCAGAGGGCAGCCTGGGTCAAGCTGCCCCAGTGAGAGCAAAGGTCCAGCCCTTGAGCAAGTGGTGCCAGGCTGAGAACAATTCCACCTTCCCTTTGCCTCAGGCCAGGGCTCTCTACCTCCCACAGCCTTTAGGAAGTAGCACAGAAAGCAGGGACATTAAGAACCTGCTGAGCACCAGCTGCTGCCGCTGGAGAGAAACACTCACCACTGGCAAAGCAGGCCCTGCTTTCAATGATTCCTTCTCCTTGACCACATCCAACCACTGCAGCAGAGCATGTCAGCCCTTCTAGAGGGCCAGAAGGAGAGGATATTAGCTCCTAAAATACCCAGAGTACCTTGAATCAGGCTTAGTCAGAGGAGCCCTGGGGAGCGATGTGCTCCTCCAATGGAAGGTGTTAAACTAAGAGCCTCTGCCTCATTGCAGTCAAGGCTCAGTGGGCAACGGGCTCCAAGGTGTGCCCACAGAACTCAGGAAAATCAGAACATCAGCCTCTAGGTTCACAGCTAGTAAGAATCGGGTCAAGATGGAGTAGACTCATCAACTACGAAAGGAAGACCCAATGATGTTGTGGGAGGACCCTCGGTTAGAAGTCACAGGATCCAGCTCTGAGACCAGCTTTACCACTTACTAGCTGTAGAACCTTGAGAAATCACCTCCTACCTCTGAAACTCAGTGTCCTCAGTGTTATTCCAATTTAAGAGACTTATATCCAGCTACCTACTCGACATCTCTTCGATGTCTCAAAGGCACCTCCATTCAGCTTGCCCACAACTGCTCTTCCTCCCTAATCCTCCAGCCTAGCTCCATGTTCAACACAACCAACCATCCAGGTATAGAAGCCAGAAACCTCAGACCCATCCCTGGCCTTTCCCCATTACTATTCCCCATTACTAACCCATTACCAAGTCAACTCCACCTCCTAAAAATGCCCACTGCCCTCCACCACCACCCCGGTCCATATTATCACCTCGCGTATAGTCTATTGCAAAGCACACACTCATCATCCCTCTGGCCTCCCCGAGGACCTCTCTGCAGAGCAAATCTCCCCTCCCACCAGCCTTATTCCACTTGCTAAATTACTCTCCAACAGCATCCCAATGCCCTCAGCATGAGGAAAATCTTCCGAGGGCTCATAAGGCCCCACTCCTCTTTTGGCTTCTACCCACATCATGATCCCTCTTGTGGCTCCAGCCACAATGGCTTTTTCTTCTAGACCTGGCATTTATCCCATTCCCTCCTGTCACAGGGTTTGTGCACATGCCCTTCCCTCTACCAGCAACGTTTCCTCCTCTTCTCTCACCTAGCTAATGCCTATTCATTTATTTCACTATGAGTGAAGTGCACTAAAGTATACAGCTCAGTAATTATTTACAGATGTCTATCCTCATGGAACTCCCACACAGATCTAGATTTAGAACATTCCTGAGACCCAGAAGGTTCCCTCTTTCCCCTTTACAGTCTACACCTTCCCTACCCCCCAGGTAACCACTACTGACTTCTATCACTGTACATATTCAGACTGCAGCTGATGCAATCCTTCCTCAGGGAAGCTGCCTCTGATCCCACTGAAAAACTCTAGCTCCTTTATCACTGACCCTTGCTACTCTTGGGACTTTGCACTTGTTTGAGGAATTAATTCATGTTGATTTCCCCTGGGACTCTATAAGCTCCAGGAAAGCAGGGGCCACACCTGCTTTTACTCACCTTTGTTTTCTCAGTGCTGACCCATGCAGTCGTGACAATAGGAAATAGCTAATTCCTATTTCTAAAAGTACCTATTGAGTGTTTTTGTTTTTTCTTTCATGTTTTTTTAGCAACATGGTCTTGCCATGTTGCTAAGGCTGGATTCAACTCTTGAGCTCAAGTGCTCCTCCTACCTCAGCTTCCTGAGGAGCTGAGACTACAAGCATGGGCCATCATGCCCAGCCTGAGTGCTTATTATTGCCAGGATATTGTTCTAAGCACTTACAAGTACAAACTCATTTAATCTTCACAACAATTCTATCAAGTAGTTACCATTATTACATCACCTTTTACAGATAAGGAAACTGAGCCACAGAAAAGTAAAATAATTTGCCCATAGTCATTAAGTGGTAGAGTCAGGCTTCAAACCCATACAGTCTGGCTACAAGAGCCTGTGTTCCTAATTACTATCCTACTCTGACTCTCAGAAGCCACTGAGATTAGTTACTCATTTAATGAGTTAACTACCTAAGGTATTCTAAATGAATTTAAAAAAAAAAAAAAAAGGGCTGGGCACAGTGGCTCACACTTGTAATCCCAGCACCTTGGGAAGCCCAGGTGGGCAGATCACAAGGTCAGGAGTTCGAGAACAGCCTGACCAACATGGTGAAACCCCGTCTCTACTAAAAATACAAAAATCAGCTGGGTGTGGTGGTGCATGCCTGTAATCCCAGCTATTTATGAGGCTGAGGCAGGAGAATCGCTTAAATCCGGGAGGTGGAGGTTGCAGGGAGCCAAGATCATACCACTGCACTCCAGCCTGAGTGACAGAGCGAGAC